TTATAACTGTTAAGACATGCACTTAGTGAGAGATCGTCCACTGTTCCGGAATGAATTGCTGTTGTGGTTAAGCAGGTAACTAGGCAAATCTATTGTTTCCCGGTCTCTCTACCGTGTGCTCGTACATTAAAAGAACCTGCATAGTCTATCCCAAATCCTTGAAATGGTCTAGCAGTTATTAACCGCTTGATTGATAGCTGAGCAAAGCTGGAAAGCCAAAATAGTCTTAAAGCGAATCTGTGACAGTGATAACTTTTTTCCCATAAGACCCTTTCAGCTATCTGTCGTTCCTTTTCGGTCCAGAACCGTTCTCTGAATTGACAGAGCGTGTCCGCCACTCCAAAGTGCCCACTTTTTCTATGAGCCTCGATGATAAGCATCTGCTTGAAAGGATGTTTGTTTGGCAGAAATACCGGGGCTTCCTACCGATCCAGTTTGCTAAGACGTCGCATCACTCTCTATAAACCAGACCTGTGCTTCTCATGATTCCATCGTTGAGTCTCGTTTTCCTTTATCTAGAGCTGTGCTTCTTATAACAAGATTGTTTCTGCTCGTTGTTGGAGAGGAACATCTCCAGCCCCTGTTGCAAGGTGTCTTCCCAATTTCCTTTCAATGGCATCTAGGAACTTTAATATTGAGCAAGCGCACCTGACCATCTTTGACCACTTCTTTGTTCTGCTTGTTTCGAAGAGGGGTTCAGATCTGTGATCTTTTGCTGCTAAAGCGACTACAACTTTGGCTTGGGAAGCGTCGACAGAAAGATGAAGTTCCACTTATGACTGTCGACTCAGCGCTCGTCGTGGAACCGTTAATCGTCCGTTTATCCAATTTTTCTTTAGTACCTCTAACCTGTTTTTCAGATCTGATGGAATTTCGTTATTCCATTGAACGGTGTCGATCCATAGCTTTTGACAGAATACCTTTCAGGGAAGAAATATTGGGGATAATAAACCCAACAGGTCGAAATGACTGGCAATAAATTGTGCCAGTTCCCGCTTCGTGCTTCCCTCGAACGCTTTCAACTGCATACATAGAGTTTCATTTTTCCTGTTCCAGATAAGCATCAGAAGTGAATGTTCCACTACAATCTTCTGATCCGATTTCGGTATTTTACTCATGATCTCTGGATCGTTCAGAGAGAAGCTTCTTAGGTTTATAAACGCAGCTTTGAACATGCGCTTAGCCTCTTTGTATATTTTTTGCTTGACGTCTTCATTTTCTATACCAATTAATAGATTGTCCACCTAGAGATTTTCTAGAATGGCGTTGGCTAATCATGATTTATCTATCTTGATGTGATGTTCTATGACGGCTGCGAGAAGGAATGGGCTACTCAGAACTCCGAACAAGACCCGGGCAAATCGATGAACGATCAAATTGTCATGCTCTAGGGCTTTAGTGATGTCTTTCACCCACAAAAACCGTGTGACATATCAATCCCTCAAATTAAGAGCGATCTGGAAAAAGCCTTTTTTGTATCTCCCAAAAAAATAATCGGTTAGCTTCGTGCTCTCAGCAAAATTCCGCAGAGCTGTGTTAAGATTACCGGGCCTTGGTAGAACGCTTTGTTTAGACTTGTTCCTACCGCCAACTTCGCACTGACGTCAAACACGACCCAAAATTTCGTTTTTCGTTTCTTCGACGTGAGAGCTGCTTGGTGAGGCACACAGTGAACCAACGTTCCATTGGTTCTTCCAGTAACCTTGATAATCCCTCGTTTGAGCCGATCTTTTAAGAATTTATCGTATTCCTTCAGAAGATCAGTATTTTCGCGCATATGTTTGATCAGCGATTTGAAGCGGCCTAGATACAAACCAAAGTTATCCGATAGATTAGGGCTGTGTGTTCGCCATATTCATTTGACACTGTAACAGCTCTCCTCGTCTCTGGTTACCGTCCTTTCAAAAAACTGTACCGCTTGTTGGTGCTCAGTTTTGTTTTCGATGCTTTTTATTCCGATTAAGTCTAGCTCCCAGAAACGATTGACGTCAAAATTTGTGTACGTCACAACTCTGCGACTTCTACCCCCTACAACTGCGATTTGACTTGTTGATAAAAGACCTACCTTCGTATCGATGAGGTACATGCCAGAGCCAAACTTTGTTGCACATTTTCCGAAGTCGAAGTAGTAATCAATTTTGATTAGTATTTCTGACGCCTCCAATGTCATCGCTAACTTTGGCAATTTTTGGTTATTAATTTTCTCGCTGCCAATTTTAGCTACTTACAGCTCCTGTATCGTCGCCCCCATAAGGTAGAGTTTTACAACTTTTGATTCACCGTTCTCCAATGTCAAAATCCTTTCGTAGTACCGCATCCTCTTTGGTTTTTTTTTTTCTACGAAGGTGGACACTAACAGCTCTTTTCGTTTTGATACGATAAGGCCAAGTCGTTTGGCCAATTCTTGGTCGATATATGAATGTTGACTTTCACTGTCAAAGAAGGTCAATAACCTTGCCCCATGTTGCGGATGCTGAGGCTTATGAATTTCTACTTTTCTACACACCAGTAGAACTTTAGATTCTTTGAGGGACTTCACATTTGCTACTGTCGCGAGTTGAGCTGAAGAAGCGTTGACTGCATTTCTTTTTAGCTGACCATACGATGCGGCGCTTGTGGGAGGGTGGTGTTGACGAGTTGTACTTTCCTGGACTTTATGAGTCTGACATAAGGCGCTAGGATGGTATTTGTTACAGTAGAAACATGGCTTAATTCCAACCCGGCATGATTTTGAAACGTGGCCTGATCGTTAACACTTGCAACAATGTTTCAGATATTTTACTCCGTCGATTCGTTTATTCGTAGTTTTGTATTGATCGCATTAATCATGTTAAGAGTTTCCTTTGCAAAAGGCACAACTCCTCAATAACTTGGGTTTGCCTTGATCCTTGTGGAGCTGAACAGCCGTTGTCGATGACGGCGTTTCTGGCTAAGCAACTGGTAATTTTTTGATCTCTCTATTCATTTGCAGTGACGCTGACATAGCGTGCAGTTTGACTCTAGCACGGTTATTCAGAGATGCTCGTAGTTTAGTGATAATTCACTGAGTGTCTGCCAATTAAGATAAATAAACCTTTTCCCTTGTTAAACATGGAAGCTTTTCCTTCAATGAATTTTCAACAAACGAGTGGTTTAGCGTTTCTCCCAACGCTTTTAATTGTCAAATTATGCATTCCATTTGTTGCCAAGCTTGAAAGAATTGAGCCTCTTGTGCGATAAGCTGGAACAAACGCAACTCTCGCTGCAATTCTGTTCTTAAGCGACGGTTATCACCATAGACCTCTTTGAGTCTCTGGGCCAGAACAGGGTAATTTTCCGGCCGTGAGACGATACCCAGTAAGGAGGCCTTTGCCTCCTCTGTTAGCAACTCCATCAAGTAGTTAAGTCTGAACACCGTGGGAACTCTTTTACTGACAGCTTTTGGAACTCTTCAATAAATTTGTGGATCTGTTTTTGCGTAGGGGCAATCGAAACAATAATTTCTTTTCTCATTCTCTTGTAGTATGAGTTACCATTGAGCATTCAAAATAAACGAAGATAAATACAGCGGTAGCGATATAGGAAGGCAGAGCGATAATTTTGTGAGTAGCAAGTTTGGCAATAGCTTGTTTCTTTGCGATAAGCGAATTCCGCAAATCACTCAAATACAGTTCTTGGTTCAAATTGCCAAGAAGTCAGCTAAAAATACTACCGTCGTTAGTCAGTTCTCAACGCTTAGCACTATGTAACAAAAAAGTAAAGGGATAAAACTTTTCTATATTTCTGCTCATGAGTTGTGTCGTTGTGGCAAGCGTCAAATGCGTAAGAACGTGATTACACCTCAAAATTGAGCAATTAAACCTTTATTACAAAAAAAATGGTATAATATTTAAACGAAATTATTAGTCTGTAATACAGAGTGAGAAGTATAACAAAATTAACAACCAAGAGTAGAAATAACAAAATAGAGGAAATGGAAATAAATAAAGCTACAAAAGAGGAGAGTACCCGGCCGCAGTCACCACAACGCATCGCTTATACAATAGCTTCTTTTCCTGCCGATCTGATTTATCTGATCGATTTTGATTATCATGCACGTTTTAGCTGCTTCGCTGGCGCCAATCGCTGATCGCTTCGCTTAAGCCTAGTCCTTCTAGTATTCACGTTGGTAGCGACAATCTGCAAGAGGTTACCAAAAGAACGATTAATGATACATTTCAGTACTTCTCCCTCATTGCAATCATGAAAAATAGTGCGAATAAAATGTTGAATTAAGCTTGTTCCAGTGAAAAAGGAATGCTCGTATATTGTTGAAAATGAGAATTAAATTCAAATGTTATAACGAGTTAAGAGGTAATAGAAAATAATAAAATGTCAGTTTTAACAACGACTTTTTTACTGATTGCTGAAATTTGCAGTTACAGTTCCGTTTAAATAACAGCTGCCAAAAAAATGTTTAAAGATAAAAAACAGCTAACGTCTCAAAAAATAATTCTAACTTTTTTTTTAAACTAGTCGAACGTTGGTATACAATTGTTGAAGTGTAATATCAAATTTTTATTTCCATTTTTCTTTTACAACAAAGTACAGTGACAAAAAAAATTTTTCAATTTACAATTTCAGTCTCAGTTTTTAAAGCAGTTATAATTTTTTTATACTTTTTTCTGCTGTAATTCAACAACGTTTCCATACCTCTCAGTACAATATGTAACTTTTGCATTAATTTTCAACCTTAGTGTTCCTGTTCTTTGAATTAAAAATAAACTGCTGAAGAGGAAATAACGCCGAAGTCTTTCTTTTGTCCTGAAACGTATAAATATATTCTCTTAAAAACTAGTCACTTTACAAAAATTTGTCTATAAAACATATTTACTTTATTAAATAACCGTCTCTTTCACTAATTTTCTAACCTACAATTGAAAATCAAAGAAAAAACGGCACTTGTAGGTGAAAAAAAGACAAGTAGTACAGAAAGATCAAAAAGTTTTATGTAGAGTTTTCATATTAATTGTAGCAGTGGAAATAATAATTTATTTTTACGACTATTACAATAAGCAAATATAATTCAATTAAATCTATTTATACATGTAAGGAATGTTCTTTTTACTATAAAATATAAGATAGAACAACAGACAAAGTAGTGATTTGAACAGCCAAAAAAATTTAACGTTCAATGTTTACTATTCTAAAGTAGAATAGCCAGTAAACAAATTTACTTCCAGCTATTTGCTTGCATTCTAGACTATCAGTATATTTAGTCTTTTTTTTAACTTGAGTTTCAAATTTTTTGTACTTTATCTGGCACTCACTAGACATTTTCTTATACTTTTGACATTTTACTTTAACTAAGCTCAATTCAGTGCCATTGCCAATAAACTGCGAACAATAACGAAACTGCAATTAGCAGTTTGAAACATTCGCTCAATAGATTAAGGTTTAAGCCAAATTAAAACAGAGTTGTCTAGTAGAGTTTCCTTCATAAGCAACGTTGTTTTCCTACTGTTAATGACTGAGATCGCCATGACTGTTAGTTATTTGGTTTCTCGTGGGTGGTACAATTTTCAACCTGCATCATTCTGAACCGGATAATTTTCAACTTTCTGGTGTCTAGAACCAACCACAAAAAAAATTTTTCTTGATGGTTCTTGAAAAATATAGCCGATGCGGCTCTGACTTGACACTTTTTAGTCTTATAGATTAAGTAGCACAGCTGTTTTTTTGTATAGATTTTGCTAGCGTAGTCTATAATTTTCTACTGATTTTATTTGAAAAATGCTTCTTACAATTTTTGGAGGTGTTTTCTAATAAATGACTGTTTTTTCTTATCAAAGATAAAAATTGCTGTGTTTTCTCTTTTTGTTGGGTAACTGTTGGGAAAAAAAAAGGGATTACTTTGGTTGCTACGGTCGATTTTTTTTTTTGTTGAGCGAGAAACTGGAACCTCTTCTGCGGCAGTAACAGATAGCTTTGTGGTAGCAGTTTGTCTCTATTTGTCCTATTTTCAGATATCTAAAATAAATTTTTACGTTTTTAGCTCAAATGGTACGGAACTCTAAGTTGAAAAACTTCTTAAAGCTGTCCAACTGTTGCTAATTTCGGCATTTTCACCTTTATAAATAAATTCTGCCCATGTTCGTCACTTCTCTTGTCCACAAGCAGCGGCTGTTATTTTGCATAAAAGTACGTTGAGTCGTATGTTCCAACTCATGACTTTTAATGATTGGTCGAACAAATGAGCGGTGATTAAGCTGTCTTTTTTCTCATCAAAGCAGATTCTTAAATTTTCTTAATAAAGTTCACGGAATATAGAACAAATTGATGCAATTTTTTGGTATAACTTTGCAGCAGCAATAGTTTTGGTAATTTTAGTTCAGCAGGCAATGTAAGAGTGGTGTCACCTGTAACATTCGATTTGCTGCTCAAAATGTTCCAGGATTTTTTTGCTTCGAATGTAAGCGAAATTGATTTGATGCCTACTTTTGGTTAACGACTTTCGCCGTAACTACTGTTCCTTTTCAGCAGCGTAGTGCTTTGGTAATGCTTAGTACTTTTTACATTATTTTTCAGGGGTCTGGCATCATGTTTGAAAAACTCATCGTTTTCTAACTCAGAGATTAACCAGCTAAATTTGTCGATAACTATCAACGTGTTCTCTTTTTTTGACTGAATGAGCAAAGCAGGGTCGAGATAGCGACTATTTTTTACTATTTAACGCATCAAATTTTCAGTATTTGTAGTGTTAAAAACTCTTTTTATACGGTTGGCGTTAAAGTTACCTGGACTTCTTGGATGTAGCAG